GTCTATCAAGGAGCGTTTTTCTAGCTGGGTCGGTTTGCTCCATCCGCATTACATGCCTACCCACCTCAGACGTCCTATCTTAATGTGTTTTATGATATCTGGTTCCTGGTATATTCTATAGAGTTCGAAGTTGTATCGTCTTCTCCAGACACCATTTTCATTTACCGCTCCATAAATTCGCCTCAGTATTTTTCTTTCGAAACATCCTAACATGTTTTCATTGCTTTTTGTTAAAGTCCAGGTTTCTGAACCATATGTTAGGACTGGGCGTATTATTGTTTTGTAGAGTTTTACTTTTGTATTTCTTGATATAACTGTAGATTTAAAAAGGAGATTAAGGCCAAAATAGCATCTACTAGCCGTGCAAATTCTGCGGTAGTGTCATTTTCAGTATTGACGAGCGTTCCCAGGTATACAAATTCGTTAACTGCTTCGATGAAGTCGTTTTCTATAATAAGTGGCCGTCGTATTTGTGGTTGCGGACCTATTTTCATGTATTTGCAACTTTGGACGATACGTCCGAATTGACACACTTTGACCTTGAGTTTCGGTCATTTTCAATTAGTTTTTTCCATTGAACATTCCGAATTTCCGAAACTTGTCTCGCCTTTTATGTTCTTTTAAATCTCGTCCTCGCAACTATAAAAACACATCATTAGAGAATTGAAAACACTAAAGACATTTAATTTATTAAGGTACACTAGCAGAGTACAAAAATGAGTAATTTCAAATAAGATTTATAATAAAAGAAATTCCAAATACTAAACGAATTATTGAAAACCATGACTCATAGGAAATAAAAGATGGTGTTACTATACAATGGTACTTTATATCTACATAACACGAAACAAGTTTTATATAAAACAAAATTATTTACAGCTTTTTAAATCATCCTAGTCAGTAATTACATTTACAACTTAACTAGGTAAATCACAGATAAAACGCTTTACAGCGGAAGGAGTGTTGAACTTGATATAATACATTGTACTCATGTAGACCAGACCTTTGCTATTGAGAATACAAAATCTAATGCACAATTTATGCATCTAATGCATAAAATACAAGTATCATTTTAAAAAAAGGTTACTATAATTTTTTTAGATTAATTAATTATTTTTAATTATAACCCATTCGCTACGCAGTTCCTGACCAAGACTGTAACCCTCTTGGAATGACGCTGCTCAAGTAAAAGTAAACAATATTCTCGATGCTTAACTTATAGGCTGAGCACGTGCCTTTACAGTACGCAGTGAATGGTTAAACAAAGTTTATTATTAGATATTATGCTTATATGGGATGAAGCCACAAATAAAAATAAAAAATTAAGAAAAATCAATCAAATTCGCAATGGAAAAAGAAAACAACAATTCATTTCCTTTTCTGGATGTATATATTGGTAAATTTTATTCAAGGTTATGCTCCGACGGCAGATAAAGATGAAAACAAAATCGACCTATTTTACAACGATTTGGAACAAGTCTTAAAGTAAATTAAGAATCATCACACTACCAATGGGTGACTTCAATACCAAAGTTAATCAGGGAAGAGTGGATGGATACGTAAGTGAATATGGTCTACAAAATAGAAATGAATGTGATGACCATTTAATACAATTTTGCTTGGTGGAAGAAGTTGTAATAGCTAATATACTTTTTAAACTAAGTACCAAAAAGAAGATTGTATACATTGAAACCTCCCGGAGATACAAAGAATAGAATAATCCGAAATTAAATTGACTTTGTCCTCATTAGAAACATTATAAATAGGCGATATGGCGTCAACAAGTGTGGCGTCAACATCGTCTCCAATAGTCCATTTCCATTGCCTTAATTTTTGATTTGTTTTTTTTTTATTGATTTCCCAAAATTCTGCACCGTACAAATCAATACTTTCTATCAATGTTTTATAAATTCTTCTTTTGTTATTTTATTATTCCACAATAGTATGTGTAGCTGTCTAGTGGCTGCTCTTGCTTGGTCAATCCTAGAAGGTATTTCTTCGCTACTCCTCGCTTTTGATGTTATTTGAACTCCCGAGGATTTGAAGCAGTGTATTTTATAGTTTCCATTTTATTTTGTAGGCTTTCTGATTTTTCACCTGTAACTAAATACTGTTTTTTGTATATTAATTGTAAGGCCCCACTTATACTACTAAGCATATAGTCTATATCGCTCTCGTCTTCAGCTGAAATGGTTTGGTCGCCAGCAAAGTGTATGGTGTATAATCTCTCGTCTTCGATTAGTAGCAGGCTATACTGGATGACTGAAGAGATTAATGAATGAAAGAAAATCATTGAAAACAAAATATCCCATTAAACATAATGAAATCAATCCGTTAATTAAAAAAAATAAAAGGAACTAAAGAGAGCATGTTACATGAGCAGTGCTAAGAACTGGAAGAATTTGAGAAAAAATATGACTTTTTTAACATGCATAAAAGAATCAGAGAACTAACAGGAAAAACACTTCACTCTAGGCAACTAAGAGATGAAAGTGGTGTAGATAACACCAACAGATATAAACCAGAAAATGCAGAGATGGACACAATATATAGCACAGCTTTTTGAAGACAAAGACGCAAACACCGCCAACATCCAATAACAAAATTTTAGTGCAATACACTAGTTCCGAAGTTGGATGTAGACTAAAAAATGGCTTGCAGTAACAATAATACTCTGTCTTTGTCACATCTAGTTCAAAAAACAAACACTACACTCTGGAAAGAACATCACATCCAGAAAAAATCTTCCACCTCTGATTCAACTAAAGACTCCATCTCACCAGCCTCCAAAATGCTCCACTACATACTACCTTAGTGCCTTTTTCGGTGCTGTTCTGCCTTGTACGGAGACACATGTTCAATCACTTCGAAATAAAGAATCCTTACCCTAAACCTCAAAATTAACGTTGGAAGAAGAAGACAAAGAAAGAACAAAAGCACCAAAATAATTTAAAAATGATACTGGGCCTGACATTACACGAGAATAAATCGAATATACAATGGAACAAGCTAAAAGTGGTAAATGTTCCGGGCCTTATGCCATCGAATTACTCAAAATTGTGGATATTGAATCGATGGACCTTATTTTGGATCTATTCAATACCATATATAAAACAGATATACTACCTAAAGAATGGCTTCAATAGATATTTATATTGCTTCCCAAGAAAGCCAACGCAAAGGAGTGCAATGAACATCGCACCATAGCCTTAGATGAATATTGTCTCAAAAATGATTTTTAAAGGTAATTCACTATAGAATAACTAACACGGGATGCACTGTTTACAATGAGTGTTCTTCCGCAGAAATGCCTAGATATAAATCAGGAAGTATAAGACTGTTTCATTGATTTTAAAAAGACATTTCACAGAGTGCAGCACAATCATCTTAAAGAAATTTTGTTAAATAACAACATAGACAGTAAAGACATTAGAATTATATCAAGATTCGCCGCAGGGTGTGGCAAGGCTATATTCTATCACTATTGTTATTTTAATCTATACAATAAAGCCATCTCAGAATGAGGGTTGGCCGAAGCCAATGAGGACCTAATAACAAACGATGTCACATAATAACATAAGATATGCTGACGATACCGTTCTTTTGGCGGGATTACTAGAAGAACTGCAACACTTGCTGAACAACTAAATACAATTCCACACCATCTACAATAATTTTAGATAATACATATATACAACACACAATACATGAATATATAAGACATAAACACACAAAACAATCAGAATTTGGGTGAAACGATCATTCTGAGGGCATAAAGATCGCCATCAGAATTATCAACTAAAAGCATGGTTGTAAGCTTAAAATATCGAAATCAAGTAAGTTAACCGTCAATTTGGAAGACAATAACCGCCAAACAACTATTGGTTATAATAACAGCTTCCTATTTTGAATCTTTTTTTCCAATCTTTTTTTTTAACGATTTCCAAAATGAAATAACTTAAAAAAGGCCACAAGTTTTAGAAGGTTTTGTAGGCACAAACGAACAATAATAATTTTTGAGAAAAATCTCATCTTTTCTGATACATCCATTGACTCTGCTCATGTAATTTTGGCAGTAAATCCGCGTTGCAGCATTTAATTCCGGTCGGTAGAGTTCCGTTGCCGGACGGTTGTTGTGAAAATTGTGAAATTTTTACAACAATCAAATCAAATTATAAAAAAATTACAATTTTAAAATATAATGTTCGTTAGAATCAATTGTGGCTTAACCCCATATAATCATAGTAGTAACCTTTAAATAATAACGTCTTGAAAGTTTGGTAAACAAATTACCAAACACTTAAAGATGCCGAATCCTCAAGTTTTACCGACCATTGTTATCGCAAATGATCTACCACTCTGTAGATTCCTATGAGGAACAACACAACTACGGCAAATACTATTGCTAAATAGATAAATATTTCTTCCTTTATAGCAATCGAATTTTCAAAAAGTTTTATTGAAAACTCTTCAATTTATTAATTATAATATTACTAATTTTAATCTTATTGAAAAACTTTGGCCATTAAAAACCTAAAAATAATAAATTAATAGTGGATGAAATAGAGTATATTACTCGCAATAATGGATATTATTTCCTCGGAATAATACTCCCACACCGCTGATGCGGCTCGGTTCATAAATATTCTTCGGAAATAATAGCTATAATAGACTACCTAAGCTCCGACGTCACAATGAGCAGGGGTTTTAAAAACCTTTTAATAACCAATTTAAACCATTTAAAACCAATAAAAAAAGTAATCCAGTGCCTGTTGTACAAAAAGAGAGGTTTTATATTTAACTACGGGATTTGGTAATACAATGAACAAAACCACCAATAAACGAGGTCAAGCAAAGTTGAAACCTACAGCAATTTATGAATATAACAAACATATGTGCAGCATTGACCGTCATGACCAACTGCTCGGATACTATCCGTGCTCTCGAAAAACTTTGCGTTGGTATAAGAAATTGTTCATTCATATACTGCAAATATTGTAACGAAATTCACTAATTTTATACAATAATTATTCAGGACAACGAAGAAAGTCGCTATATAATTTCTTACTATTAATTTTAAAGACTGTGTTGCCAGAGGGTGGTATTGTAAATAAAAATAAAATTGATCTTGGAGAGCACAAATTGGAAAAAATAGAGAAAACAATTGAAGCAAATTACGGTACAGGAGATACTTCAAAAAAGGTAAAACGAGTCCTAAGGAAGGAGTGCCTAGTATGCAGGAGGCAAAATAAAAGAAAAGCAACTATTTTATATTTGCAACGCTTGCACTGGATCACCTGGTTTTTGTGTCGAGTGTTTTTTAAATACCATTCGTCCTAAGTGATTTAAGTGTTGTATTTTTTGTTTTTTAATGCCATATCGCCAAAAATTACTGTAAATTTAACTTAAACCCATGGGTGTAATCGGCATTTCTAATGAAATGTTCATTAGAGTTGCCGGTTACACCCATGGGTGTATTTTTCTTCATGATTGTGATGATGATGATCTCACAAATTCACCAACAACAAATAATACCAATCGCACAGAATGAATTTTAATTAGCACAAGTCCTTATTTATTCTTCAAACAATTAAAAAACCAATGTTTTCAACGTCTTATGGGACAAATACACACAAATTAGAAATGTTTGGAAAGGTTTTTAAAATTCCCGAACATTGTGACGTCAGACTTTGGTATTCCATTGTTGGCCCGTAGTATATTCTATTATAAACCTTTTAAAATTATCACACGTTATGATTAGCTAACTTATACTGAGCGATGCTCATGCGCATTTAGTATTTTCGCATGCAGCATTGCCAAACTTACCCATAAATTAATACTCGCATACAGTGTTGCCTCATATCATATGCCATTGCAACGTGCTAACTAGTATGAGACAAGAATTCACTGGTCAACTGAGGATTTAACCAGAAGAGATCCTAAATACCATCAGTTTAAAGGAGAAAAAAACAGGGTAAGTTACAAAGGTCTCATGACAAAGTGCCAAAAATACGTCTCGCCTGAAGCAAGAAGAAGAATATGCTAAAACTAAATTAATTAATTTTTAAACTTATAGCACTAAATTAATAAGTAGATAGTTAATCATATTAAAATATTTTAACTGAATACTATATGGTCCAAAACAAAAAGATACAGAAATTAAGATTATGATGATAAATAGAATTAGGTTTCATTCCGCCCACGACTAGTGCTTCCTTTGACTGCGGACCACTGTCATCAACGTTTGAATTTGTACAGAAAACGGCAGCATTGGATGGCAGAATGGCGTAATGTAGCATTCAGCGATGAATTAAGATTGTGTTTAGAAATGCATGACGGTCAGACGCAACCCTGGAGAGCGATGATATATCGAGTTTGCTGTTTAGAAGCATGTACACAGGACAGTTGGAGTAATGATTTGGGGGGCTATTGCCTGCGGCAGCCGATCAGCACTTGTGTTTATTCGAGGCAATATGACAGCTGCGCGTTATGTTGATAATATCTGACAAACCACTTTACTGCCTTCGACGTCTCGAAACGTCCTTGAGTGTATTCAGCTACGAGTTCGCCAAACACATAATTATTTTTTTTTTATTACTTGTTAATAAAAATTCTTGACGTTATCGTTTCATTCTTGATATCAATCTACCATGTTGCCAAAAAATTAAGTTCAAGAAATTATTTCTTCTGGGTGTAACACTTCTGGCACTGAGTTTATTATTAAAATTATCAAAAAAAAAAAAAATCAGACCTGTGTAATCGATGCATTAGCAAGTTATAATAGTATTTTTTACAATACCAATATTACAGGTATAAAACACTCAGATAAAATCCATAATAATTAATTACCACTTTTAACTCTTTTTGAAAATAGTTAAAAATCAACATATTTATTAGGTTATTAATTTTTGGAAGCATTGCTTTCTTATCGCGGGCTAAAAATGGAGAGGTGGATCGCTCACGGGTATGAAAAAAATAAAATCGACTGAAACGATATAATGTAACAATCATGCGACCATACACGACATGGTGTAGTAAACGCAGTCCCATGCGTGTTTCTTAATAAAATAAAAATAAAATAATTCAAATCGAATTGATAAATTAAAAATCATCGCTTTGTGCATAGATCACGATAAGAAAGTTATGCTTCCCTCCTCGGTCACTCCCGGGGTACCACATTCCGTTTTTTTTACTTCCTTTGGAAACGCTCAAGATTCTGGTCTATTCATATACAAAGTACAATATAATATTCTTTGACGATACTTTGCACGTCCAACAAAGACTGGCTTAATTTACAATATTATGTACAATCATTTAAAAAAGTAGTTCATACTAAATACGAAGAGCTTTGGAAAAGTAGCAAATGCTTGTTGGACGATCAAAATATATCTACGTTTTGTACAATTAACAAACGGTTAAGATTCTAACCACCTTTCATCTTCAACGGCAACGCTGACATTCGGTCCGAGATAGTATCACGTGCCCTTTTTCGATCGACCTGCAAATGAAAAGAATAAAAATGATAACCAACTGTAATTTAGGTGGATAAATCTGTAGATAATACAAAAATTTAACAAAGTCGCTGCCGCTCATTAGTCCAGGCTGTGAGGCCGCTCCCGTTGGGAAAATGTTTCTGATTCGGTTTCTTCGCGGATTCCGGTTCAAAAATGTCCCCTTTAAACAAATCTGAAGGGTGCCGGGCGAAATTTTTGGGCAGCAATTGTTTAAACAATTTTTTTTAAACAAATTCCAAAAATATATTTTTTTTTAAATCTGGAAAACGTTTTTTTAGGTTTTTTGGGTCATTTTAAACAAAAAAGGTCTCGTCATTTTTCTCTAAAGTTGATAGTTTTCGAGTTATAAGCGATTTAAAGTCTGAAAAACGCGAAATACGCATTTTTGAGGCTTGAAAACACATATGTAAATTATTATATTTTTGAGGTTACCAAGTGTCTAAATTGAAGTTTAAACATTCAACTTCAACATTGTGAAGAGTAATCGGGCTTATTTTAATTTAGACCGTTGTTTTTTAATTGTTAAATATGCGCGTACACTCGATTTTTCAGCCGCCGCGGCGCGGCGCGCTAGAATGCGCTTCTATCGTACTTATGCATAGTTTACATATACACTTACGCAAAAAAACCCGAACAAATCCTTGAAGTTTATTAACATAGTTTTTTCCATAATTTATTTATGTAGGTATTAATTATTGTCATTGGGCTAATTAAATAAATCAATCATCGCAACGTAATAACCGTATATAGTTTTTTTTCTTCCAAATTTGAACAATATAATTATTATTTATTGAGTATATATTTATTTATATCAATTGTAAATAATATTTTTAAATTATTATTTAAATAATACAATGCAGTAAATATTAATATTAGTAAACTTAATTTTAAATTGCGCGGTGTTTAAAAACAATATACTATCGCAAAAATGCAAGTTTTTTACCTGTTTAACAATCGCGCGCACATACTTGATTTGTTATTACTTAAACAATCATTAGGAAGACTATTGTTTAATGCCCATTAAAAGGTATTATATTATAATATGTTATTAAAAAAATTGTGAATGGATTTAAAATGTCTTTTTCCGTACCTCTTCTTAAATGAAAACTTACCGAAGAAAATTTAGTTTGTATTTTTTGTAATAACATCAACAATATTAAGTTAGTGCAAAAACCTAAAGTAGATTTTTACATAACAATACAAAATGCTGCTCTTCGACGAAAAGACAGTGTGACTGAAAAATTTAATTTAATCTAGCCAATATACCTTGTACAGTTGCGGTCACGGAATAGTTTACACCTTACTTTTTATATTGTAATACTGTAAAATTGCAGTGTCGTACGGATTTGATAAATGTCAAAGTCAAAAAATTTCAAAACGTCAATGCTTTCGCGAGTGTTTAACAATAAAATAAAAGTATATTAAACTCTTCCAAAATGGTTAGAATACATTTGAATTATGCGCAAAAAGCAAGAGCAATTGCCAAACTCGAAGAAGGTTGGTCACTAAGGCAAGTTGCTGCTGATTTGAACGTGAGTCATATGTGCATATGGAAGATTAAACAAAGATGGGATAATTTTCACTCTATAGCACGGTTGGGCGGTTCAGGAGGGCAGAAGATTTCCACAGATCAACAGGATGAGATGTTAGTAGATTGTTTGAGAGAATCTCCTTTTGCCACAGCTCAAAAGGCAAAAGAAGAGGCAGCGTTTCCAGGCAGTATTCGCACTGCACTTCGAAGAATTAAAGCAAGTGGACTGCTAAATTGTGTAGCTGCACGGAAACCTTTTTTGACTGAGGATCACAAGAGGAGACGAGTTGAATTTTGTAATGAATTTATAAACCGCGATGAGAATTTTTGGTCTAGGGTTGTATTTTCCGATGAAAAAGTATTTCAGTCGTATAATAATGGTCGAATAAGAGTTTATAGGCCGAGAAATCATAGGTATGATGAACAGTAACGCATCATTTAAGAAATAGTGGAGGATTCTCTGTCAACGTATGGGGATGGATAAGTGCCGAAGGCCCGGCGTTTGTTATCATGTAGAGGAGAAGTTAACAGGATTATATTACAAACACATTATTGAGCACACAATGTTGCCATCGGTGATCCAGAGATTCCCCAACAACGACTTTATCTTCTAACATGACAATTGCCCGGTGCATACGAGTAGAATTGTTCGAGAATGGCTAGAAGAAACTGATGTTAATGTTCTTCCGTGGCCTTCCCGTAGTGCAGACTTTAACCCCGTCGAAAATGTGTGGGCAGAGTTAACAAAGAAACTAAATGAAAGAAACTTTAAACCACGGAATAGAATTGAATTATGGGAAGCAATTGAGCAGGCATGGGAAGAGCTTGTTAACTATAACATGAGGGGATTGGTGCTATCTATGAACAGAAGACTGCAAACTTGTATTGACAAGAATGGGGCTTCCACCAAATATTAATTATTATTTATCATTGTTTATCGTTATTTAATATAAAATAGATTTAAAATAAAATGCATATTAAAAAAAAAGACTTCTTTATTTTCGTTATTAAGATCATAATCCATTTTATTCAAAAACTGTTTTCTATATTTTTCATTTTGTAAAATATTTTGATATTTTAATTTTAATCTATCTATTCTAGCTAGTACACACCACTGGCAACGTCACTTTGACGTAAAAGGTGCGTTTAAACGAAGTAAAAATTTAAAAAATGGGCTCCTAGATACGTGAACCTGTAAACTATTCCGTGACCGCAACTGTACCTCTGACGCACTTTACCAGCACTTGTTAAGAGCTTTCGCTAAAACATATATTTGGCGAAATGCCATATATTCCCGCTATCAAACTCTCGATTTTACACAATATGGATATTATATGTCTGATAGTGGTGGGTTGGGAAACCGTGCAAATGCAAAAAGACTTGCAAAACTAATGCTTGCAACTGCAAGAAAAATCATGTCAACTGTGTACCATTATGTGGATGTGATTTAGATTTTTTGTGAAAACAAAGATACTTTTACTGAGTGATATTAGTGTGTTATTTAACAATCTTTTGTACGATTATTTTAATGTAACTATTATTAGACTTTAGACGAAATTTATATTATAACTCAATTGATATAAATAAATATATACTCAATAAACAATAATTATTTGTCAGTATATGTAAACTATGCATAAGTACGATAGAGGCGCACGGCGCCGCGGCGGCTGAAAAATCGAGTGTACGCGCATACTTAACAATTAAAAAACAACGGTCTAGTCAAAGTCAAAGCTGAATGTTTAAACTTTGATTTAGACACTTGGTAACCTCAAAAATAATAATTACATATGTGTTTTTCAAGCCTCAAAAATGCGTATTTTCGCGTTTTTCAGACTTTAAATCGCTTATAACTCGAAAACTATCAACTTTAGAAAAAAATGACAAGAGACTTTTTTTGTTTAAAATGGCCCAAAAAATCTAAAAACACGTTTTCCAGATTAAAAAAATTATTTTTGGACTTTGTTTAAAAAAATTGTTTAAACAATTTCTGCCCAAAAATTTTGCCCGGCACCCTTCAGATTTGTTTAAAGGAGACATTTTTGAACCGGAATCCGCGAAGAAACCGAATCAGAAACATTTTCCCAACGGAGCGGCCTGACAGCCTGGACTACATACACTTTAAGGTATAGTGAGGGGCAAGATCTATGCCAATTTTAAAAACCGACCTACTGGTAATCCCATATTGATATGTATTGTAACACAGACCCCCCAGAGAGACATTTACAGAGTTGTAGAGAAAAATTATTAATTTATGTACTTAATGTTTTTACCAATTGATCGAAATACCTATTATTTTTAAAGTATACTACCTCATAATATAGTATTTAGAAAAATTTACCTTTACCTTTTTTCAAAATTAAGACTAGAAAAATAAAATATTTTTTCAGTTGCGAAAATAAAAATTTTCTTTTAGTGGATTTACAAGTTTTTTTATTAACCGTGCTAAGTTCGTCAATGAACACTTAATATTAATATATTATACAGTGAGGTCCTAAAGTAACGGATAAATGTAATTTCTACGTAATGATGAAAACTACTGAACCAGGTTTCGATTTTTACATACAAACATATACATATACAATATACCATCAGTAAATATCTATCACCGTCCTAATATAATCGAATTAACAAAAACACCAATTTCTTTTTTTCACACAATTTACATTAATACCAAACTTAAAGATTTAGATGTAGCAACTAACTTCATGCTGTGAATATGCGCGTACTACATACTGTGAATTTTATAAAAATTCACTCTCATCAATTTTTCCCAATCGCGCCTAAAGAAGTATAACTTCAAAAATAATTTTTATTTACTTACATGTCACATGCGATGCCACAAAAAGTTACCCATTCGTTTTTTTACTAGTATAAATTGAATGGTATGCTAGCCACTTCGGAAATTCACATTCATATGGGATCTTCCAGTTAGAGTTAAGAGTTATTCCAACTCATCGTCATTATCGTTGTCTTCATCACTCTCAGCCAAATTAATAATAATTTTTTTCCAGGCTGGGACACTTTTCATGTAATCTTTTTCAATCGTCTTTACATGTTCTATTGCATTTTGCCAGTTTTGAGCACTGATATTTTTGAACTCCGTTTTTATTAGTTCGACAACACTTTGGACATCTTTTGGAGATATGTTGTTCCTCCGGACATGGTTTTTTAACTGAGCCCATAGCAAATCTATGGGATTCAACACACAGTAATATGGAGGTAATCTTAAAACCATATATCCATTGTTAGTGGCTAATTTATGTATAATATGTTCTTTAGTTACAACTTTTGTATGAAGAACCTGGATTAGTTGAGATTTGGTGTAATAATCCTCAAAATATAGGTCTTCGGCTATTAAAAATTCTTGAATTTCATCCTTCCTACTCTGTTTGGTTGGAATTTTTTAATGCATGCAGTGCTATGATGCATTGTCCATAACAATCACGCTATTTTCTTTTAAATTTGGGAGTAATGTATTCTCAAACCACGATTCAAAAAGCGTCCCTTCGATGTCTTGGTGGTAGACTAGAGAACTGTCTTTGATACTTTTGGAACTCAACAATAACGCATCGTTCACCCATCCATGTTATCCTCCGCAATGTAATATGCAAATTCGCTTGCCTCTAGAATGGGGTACATCTATTTGACATTTTCTTTGTCCAGGCTTTATCTATCGTTTCATGAGAATCAAAAAATTATTCACAGTTTTATATTTAAAACCATTTTTGGTCAAAAATCTTCAAAAAGTATTTGTGGAACAATCATCAACAATATGTTTTTCTTTTAATTTTGCCTTGATATTGTTTAGGTTAAGTATAACTTTAGTTGCATACATATTGTAGCGAGATCCGCAGCATCACCTCGTAAAGAAGCAGTTAAGGAAATAGCTTTTTTTTGTTCTGTCCAATGATTCGTTGTCGTAATTGCTTCAAATTGTCCAAGGTATATGGACCAAGAGGACTTTCCATCAAATGGTGGCGATTTGAATCTCATATGATGTGTCATTTCGTCTCTAGGTGATTCTTCTTTCACTACCGGATTTGGTGGTAGCACTTTCGTGTTAGTTATCATGGTATCTAATTGTTTGATCTTCTCTTCTACGTTGTTTACATTTTTCTGTACCTGATCGAATGTTGAGACTTCTTCAAATTTCTCATTGTTCTGAGTACATACTTCGTCGAATTTTCTAGAAACCTTTTTGAGTTTCTCGTCGTTTTGTCTAGCTACTTCTTTAATAATTTGAGACGTTTCATGGAATCTTTTGGAAACTTTCTCGAATTTATTATTATTTTTTAGAAGATTCTTCAATCATTTGCGAGACATTTTCAAATTTATTATCATTTTTTTAGAAGATTCTTCCATTTTTTTAGAAGTTTCTTCAATCATTTGCGAGACGTTTTCAAATTTACTATTTACTATTTGCGACACATTTTTTATTTTCGTTAAAACTGCTTCTTCTGCTGACTGGAACTGGAATGCCTCTGGGTCTTCTCCATTCTTGTTGAGAACAGTCTTCATTCGTTCTTGGAGTATCTTCTTAGACTCGCTGCAGCCTTCATCGCGTTCTTCTAGTTGCTCACGCGACTGTTTTACTGAAAGTTCTACTAGCAGCATCTTTGGTCAGGCACACACGTACTTTTTTTTAATGTTCTTTCGTACAAAGATCACGACCGAACTACGCTCCCGACGAACAATACTTTTTAAAAGTCACTGCTGAATTTATTTTTTTTTACTCACACCGTAACATCAACTGTAGCGAGATTAAATAAAACGAGCGGTTCGAATTTATATAAATATATTTATTTATAAATTTACTGTTCGGTAATATCTTAACAACTAAACTAACTCATAACATCGTTACATATATATACCAAAAAGTATTATTCTCGAATCTTCTGGGGAAGTCCCACCTCTAATTCGTTGTCTGACAAATGGATTTCTACAGCGCTCGATATGCAACCGTTACATGGGCCACGCCGAAAGCATGTTCGTAACAATATTATATATTATCTCACTAATAGGTTCCAAGAGGTGAGGTTGAATGTTTTTAGAGCTTCCCAAATCTTTTCCTGTTGTTTTACTTTTCGACCCTGTCTTTATTAAACGGCACACTGTCGCACAAGAAATTTTTGTTAAAACAGCCGTTTGCTTACAGCTTCATATTTGGTCATTTTTTTATAAAGTCCATCAAATGCATCTAACACTATATTTTGCTCAGATAGACACAAATTCTTCCTTTGCTGAGTACTTGGCCCCGCACTTTCATCTTCATCTTCTAAAGTATCCGTAGGTTCATTTTCGTCAGGTAAACGTACATCACTTTCCCATGGGCGCCACATATTTTTCTTTGATAAATACTAAATATATCACAACACTTTTTTTCAACAAACTCTTGCTGAAAGAAACCACAAAATATACTCCTTAAGAATGACTAAATCTGTTATTTAAATATTGTGACAATGATCCGCCCCATTTAATTATTCTACGAAAATGTACATATTAAGTACTTAGCCATTACCGGGAATATAAAATTGTTTGTAAATTTGTATTTTTTCAGTCAACAAAGACATCATATTTTTGATAACATTTCACAAAAATATTTAATGACGATGATTTGGAATAAGTTTTACTTTTTTTGTTACTTCTTTTTTATATCAATAAATAGTGTTCATTGACGAAACCCACAAAACAAAATGTCTACTTATTTTCGTAACTAAAAAATATTTTATTTTGCAAGTCATAAGTTTATAAAAAAGATGAACGCATGTATTTTTTTAATAGTATATTGCGAAATTGTTTACTGCTAAAACCATTTTTAAGATCAATTTGTAAAAACAATTAAACAAACTAATAATTCAAAATTCAACACTGCTTTGGTAATTTTATTTGAATGTTAGATAAAGGTTAGTCTTCTTCTTCTTCTTTAAGTGCCACCTAAGTGGCGGAGGTCGGCAATAATCATAGCTATTCAGACTTTTGAGACGGGTGCTCTGAAAAGTTCATTTGATGTATATCCGTACCACTCTCTCAGGTTACGCAGCCATGACATTCTACGCCTCCCTATGCTTCTCTTTCCTTGGATCTTTCCCTGCATAATCAGTTGGAGCGAGGTGTATTTCTCTCCGCGAGTAAAGGATTCCCCAAACCGACGCGAAACTTTCGCAGCGGAATCGCGGCGAATCGTAAGGCACGGCGACTTAATGCATGTGTTCAGACAAGTTCGGACGGAAACCGGAACGGTCGCGGCAGAACAGCGTTGACGTTTCATGAAACGCTGCATGCTCGGTTTTTTCCGCTGCAGTTATAGCAAGTTATAGTTTCGCGTGAATTATTAAAATGGCTGTTACAGAAAGACTAATTGAAATTGTGAAACAATATCCTATAATTTATGATTTAAGTGACGAAGATTATAAAAATATAAGAAAAAAGGATAAAGTCTGGGATAATATAGGGTCATTTCTAGGAGAAAATGGTAAGTTTTCATTATATATTATATATAATGAATTTAATAGTGCTCCGCCTGCGAATGTTCCGCAACGGTTTCGCGTCGCAAAAGTTTCGCGTCGGTGTGGGGAATCCTTTATAATTCACGCGAATTCCTTTATAATTCGCGCGAAAGTATAACTTGCTATAACTGCAGCGGAAAAAACCGTGCATGCAACGTTTCATGAAACGTCAACGCTGTTCTGCCGCGACCGTTCCGGTTTCCGTCCGAACTTGTCTGAACACATGCATTAAGTCGCCGTGCCTTACGATTCGCCGCGATTCCGCTGCGAAAGTTTCGCGTCGGTTTGGGGAATCCTTTATATGTCCGAGATATTCTAATTTTCTTGTTTTTATTGAATTTAAAATTTCTATTTCTTTATTCAAGGTTGGTCTTTAAAATTTCGCATAGATCTTATCCCTCACTATTCTATTACTGTCTAGAATTCTAAAAAATGGCACATTTTTAATATTTTTTTATCTTATCCGTTATACATGGCAATTAGTTTTATTTTATATTATTAGACAACTTTTAAAGATTACAATTTTTTTTTCTTTATTTTTCATTGTTCCTATATTTTAGTTGAAGATACTTTAGTAAAGAAAATGAACTACAATTATTATTGATATAGAAGTGGAAAAATTGTTCCATGGAACCTAACATGAATCAAAGGAAGGCAATGAACAAACAAAAGACACTTACCTTTTTTACCTTTGTTTTTAGCATCTGACGAACCCAGAACGCCTGAAACAATATGGATTCAAAATAAGTACGAGCACAGTATGTTCATACATGCAGTACGTTAAGTTTCAAATTAGATATACACACTATAAATGGCAACACTGCGCATGGTCGACTTTCCATAAACCTCAGTTTCGCCGTCGCCAATAAATAATTTATCATTATACAATGGTTGTTTAGACTTTGAAAAGGCATTTGATAAAGTTCAACATAAAAAGCTTGTAGATATATTAAAAAGCAAAAATATTGACAGTCGTGATCTGAAAATCATATCTAATTTATATTGGAATCAAACTGCCAAGGTAAGAGTTGACAGCCAGTACACCGAAAATATTAAAATACAGAGAGGAGTCCGCCAGGGTTGCGTGCTGTCCCCACTACTTTTCAATGTCTACAGTGAAGCGGTATTTCAAGAAGCGCTCTCAGACTCAATAGAAGGTATATCTATCAATGGAGAAGTATTGAATAACTTACGTTTTGTAGACGATACAGTAATAATTACGGATAACAACAATGATTTACAGAACGTAATGCAACGCCTTAATGAACGCTGTCATGAGTACGGACTGAAGATAAATTTAAAGAAAACTAAATGCATGATCATGACTAAATCTGCACATGCAAATATCCAATTGACTATTGAAGATACTGCAATTGAGAGTGTTAATAACTATAAATACTTGGGAACATGGATAACATCAGATGTAGACCAAACCAAAGAAATTAAGACACGTATTGAAATAGCACGTACATCATTTATTAAACTTAAAAAGTTTCTTTGTTGTCGAGATATAAGGTTAGAACTACGCCTGAGAATGCTTCGATGTTACGTGTTCTCTACTCTTCTTTATGGTCTGGAAGCTTGGACACTAAAACAAGTTCATCTGAATAAGTTGGCCGCCTTTGAATTTTGGTGTTACAGAAGAAACCTACGAATATCATGGATTCAAAGAATGTCAAACATGGAAGTAACTAGAAGGATAGGAAATGAGGCGGAAATAATATTAACTATTAAAAGACGAAAACTTGAGTACTTGGGACATGTGATGAGAGGGCAAAAATACGCATTATTACAACTTATTATGCAGGGCCAAATCCGAGGAAAGCGAAATGTGGGAAGACGAAGAATATCCTGGCTTAAGAACTTAAGGGAATGGTTTGAATGCAGTAGTGCAGAACTTTTTAGAGCGGCAGTCAACAGAGTCCTCATAGCCATGATGATTTCCAACCTTCGATAGAAGATGGAACTTAAAGAAGAAGAATGGGTGTTTAAAGCAATAAGAGCGTAAATATTTAATTTATTTTTGTAAACATGTCTCTTTATACGCCCACAGAAAAAGTTTAAATAATAAAATTGTTTTATGGTGGTAATTCTTGTTGATTTATTTTCTGTGTTTTTTGAACGGAGACCAATTCCTTGCGTTTATATTGTTAAAAATTTTGAGAGTTGTTATTGCCTCAAAGATTACAGAAAAGGTCACGCCCAAGAAATGTCACTAGAAAAAGTTGAGGAAAGAGAATACTGTAACCGAAGTATGGAAGAAGGACTTCTTCTTCTTGTGATGCCTATTCGTTACGCTATGATCGTTTCGCATTATATGTCCAAGATATTCTAGTTTGCGCTGTTTCACTGTGAATATATATAATTTCACATGTTTTATCCATCCGACGTAGAACCTCAATGTTTGTTATTCGGTCCACCTAGGAGATCTCGGTATTCATCTATAACACCACATCTCAAACGCCTCGAGTTTTCCCATGGATGCCTCGGTTAGTGCCCATGATTCAACCCCATAGAGCAGCACTGTAAACACGTAGCATCTCAATAAACGGATTTTCGTTTTTAAGGGTAGGTCGTGGCTCTTAAATATCTGGAAGAAGGGAAGAAGGAGACACAATCTTTTCGTTACCAAGTATTGGCGCGGAACACCAGCACAGAAGTGTTGTTTACCCAACTCAACGTCCTCAAAAACGTCTGGTCTGGCATTTTAGGAGACCACACAATAGGTCCATTTTTTATCGAGGGCAACTTGAATAGTAGAGTATATCTCGATTTGTTACAGAATCATGTTTTTCCCGCTATTCTCAATCTTCCTGATGTAAATCTGGAGAATATTTGTTTCCATCAAGACGGTTGTTCAGTTCTCAACGCTCGAATAATCAGGGAGTACTTAAACAGTACTTTCCCGAATCTAGTTATCAGTGGAACAGGCTATATTAAGCGGCCTGCGCGATCTCTAGATTTTACACCCATGGACTTCTTTTTTTTTGGGGGGACATACATTTAAAAAGCATCATCTACGATCATCCTGAGGCTAGGGCCCAAAATTTGAATGAATTAGAGAAGTCTCCAATTCTGTAACAGCAGAAACTCTTACATCTATCCGCAGAAGTTTTTATGACATATTGGAATACTCTTAAGCCGTAGGTCAAATATTTGAATCATTTCTGTAGGGCATAAAGATTTATTTCTTATTTTATAAGGAATTATTTTTTATTTTCAATAAGGGTATATTTTTTGTTTTATCTTTTAAATGAAATGCGCTTTTATTTTTAATTCAACCACAAAAAATTGTTTTACCACCTTAAAATACTGTTACGATAAATTCTGACCCAAAACCGTAACATATTTATTACTAATATTCTCATTTATTCACGAATTTTCTAGGTAATGCCTACCTGACAGACGATGGGTTCCCCTCCGCTATAAAAACAATCGAGCTTTCTGGAGACGAGCCGATGTAAAAATACCAGTTTTTAGACCATTCGCGCTCTGTCGTCGAGAATGCCATCGAATCTTCGACGATGTCCCATTTTAACACATGGTTTCATAAAAATAACGCGGATTTTTATTGAGGAAGTCAGTCAAAAGAAGATCGCGCTCGCGTTTTAATGTAACACACGTATAGCTAAATTATGTAATTATTAGTCAAATAAATTGTTGTACAGTGGTTTAATAAATTGATATAAATTATCGTGTTTTGGTAAATTAAAATAAGAACAATAAATTAGAATTAATAAAAACATTATAATACGATATAAATGCACCGCCTTATATTGGGCAATGTATTTCTATCGAGTTTATGTTATTAGAAATGAACCGGATATACGTAAGAAAATAAAAATCGACGGACCTAGATACAAATCCCTTGCGTTGTTATGCGTTAATGAATGGTTTTCGTTTTCTGTCTAGAAGTCTAAGAATCTAAGGTGTCGGAGAATTATAATTAGCTCTTACGAGGTAATGTTGCCGATTTTAGCGTTTTATGTAGTTTGCCATAACTAATACAAAACTTAACGTACTAAATGAAGGTGGTTTGACATTAGCGCAGCGCCATCTATAGAAGTAATGCCAAAGCACCCTCGCAATCTAGATTTGTTTATTATTGATGGCCTACCCCATGAAGTGCCTGCTTCATCGTAGTCATCAATTTTCAGTTTCCGCTTTCCATTCTGTCGCCTATTTTCATTCACCAACGTATCTTGAAGAAAAGGTAAGAGATGTTAATTATACATAAATTTTACGAATACACAAATGATATAAGACATGCACAAAATACTTACTTCTGTTTTTAGGTATTTTTGGTTCAAGTAGATCCTGGAGGTCTGGAATAAAAATTAGAGTTAGAAATGAATAACAGGTTTTTCTACGCAGTAGAGTCAGATCGATATGGATGAAATGGAAGAAAGATACTGGTACGTTGTGCGATAAAGATATATATATATATATATATATATATATATATATATATATATATATCCCTAGAACAATCATCGTGGCAATGATCGCAATGGTAACAAAGCCAGTAGACATTACTGATCACGGAAATCGGAAGCCGAGATCCGGCAGGAGAGGAACAAACCTAAAAGATCACAGGGCCTCTCAGGTCGTCAACAAGCGAATCCAACTAAATACACTGAAATAATAGTCACTTGGAACGTGCGGAGTTTGTATCAACAAGGAAAAGCCCATAACAGAGAAGGACTACAGATCTTGGTTGATCGCATTACCCAATACTGCGAAATGTATGGAATGGCACTGAATACAAATAAAACAAAAATCATGATGGTTAGCAAGAACAAGATTGAGGAAGACAGTGTTTATGCTAAAGGTAAATTTTTAGGCAGGGTGCACAGATATCAGTACTTAAGTTGCGAACTAAATGAAGAATGGGATAGAAGTATGGAAATAAAACGGCGCCGGCGTATTGAATAGCTAGAAGTGCTTTTAATAAGATGAAAGCAATATTATGCAATGGAAAACTCAACATTGAAATTAGAACTATAGTATTGAGATGCTACATATTCTCTGGATAGTTACAGAGGCGACAGAAAAAAGACTCAATAACTTTGAAATGTGGTGTTATCAGAGAATGTGGAAAATATCTTGAATAAAACACATAAACAAATACAGAAACGCTACGAAGAATGAAAAAAAAAAATAAAGAAATATCACTATAAATAAAAGAAAAATGAGCTACTTTGGTCACATACTAAGAAACTAGAAATACGAATTGATGCGGTTGGTCATACAAAGGAAGGTGGGAGGCAAAAGAGGACCAGGGAGAAGACGCACATCCTGGTTGAAGAATCTGAGACAACGGAATGAGAAAACGACATTAGAACTTTTCTGAACGACTGCAGATAGAGTCAAATAGGCCATGATTATCGCCAATGTCCTTAGGAATGGGGCACGTTAAGAAGAAGAAGAAGAATATATATATATATATATATATATATATATATATATATATATATATATATATATATATATAGTGATATTTTATGGGTTGGAGTCAATAAAAGGGGCTATTTGTTGACTATTTTTTACTTGAGCTTTCAATTGTGATTACAATTTTTATCAAGAGCTTCTAAAAAATACAAAATATCTTACAAAGTTGAACAAGAAATAAAAAATTTTTTGTTAACTCACCAAATAAAATTAGTTTTTTTGTATAAAACTAATGCTTACATATTAATTACAAAAAATATTAATAAAAAAATGTCTTATTCTAATAAATGTTTCTCTGAAAAATTTTGATGAAGTTTCTTAACAAAAACAATTGAATTTGTAAACAAAAATAGAATAGCTACAAACCAGCCTATGTTATAAATACTAACTTGAAAATTTTTATTTTTGACATACAAAAAATTCTAAAATTTTAAAAAATTTTTTATTTCTAGTTCAACTTTGTAAGATATTTTGTATTTTTTAGAAGCTCTTGATAAAAATTGTAATCACAATTGAAAGATCACAATTGAAAGCTCGAGTAAAAAATAGTCAACAAATAGCCCCTTTTATTGACTCCAACCCATCAAAAACAGTTCTGTTTTGATATATATATATATATATATACATATATATATATATATATATATATATATATATATATATATATATATATATACATATATATATATATATATATATATATATATATATATACATATATATATATAATATATATATATATATATATATATATATATATATATATATATATATATATATATATATATATATATATCAAAACAGATCCGACCTGGTGTAACCGGACACATTCTGAAGTAAAGTAGCAGGGTGTAGAATCAAGTTAGGAATTTGGAAAGAGGCATAAAAGTTTTTTTTGTTTTATTTAAATTAACGTATCTCAGCAACAAATTAAAAACTTAGTAGCTCAGTATCAGAAAATAAGCCAACTGATTCTTAATAGATTTGCTAGCGTAGAAAAACAAAAAATATCAGTAAGCAATACTTACTGTCTTCTTCCAATTCTACAACTTGCGATTCGAGACTTGGCTTACTATACCCGTGGACGTTAAGAGCACGTATCCTGAAAACATACTGTAGTCCAGGTTCCAATCCCCTAACTAAGTAACTATGGGCTTGGCAGTCTTGAACGATATTTGTCCACCTTTGGCTGCCCACCAATAAGCAATCCACGGCGTATCCTTGAATCATTTGGCCACCGTCGTAAGATGGTCTATTCCAGGTTAACATGACGCCATCCGAAGAAGTGGTTGCATTTGGCCTACCGATGGGTGGCTCTGGAGGTCCTGGAAGATTTTATTAATGTTAAAAGTTAATGAAATTAATTAATTAATGAAACAACTTGAAATAGATTAAATGAAAATATGCATTTGACATTTACTTTATATTGTTTACACACTAAAATCAGCAACTTTTTAACGCTCCACCCCATTTGGATAACCTTGAAATTCTAATTGATTTAAACTATTGAAGTTAACTATGCCAGGTCTCCCACGACATTTAATAAAAAGTCAACAAATAAGATTTCCCCGTCAGCACAAAACCTCTCGTGATCTTCCCAAACAGAATCTGATCGTCTCTCGTCCCAGATCAAGCTGAAAGATCATTCCTTCTCATTACAATTAATTTTAACTTTGATACTGCCTTCCGAGAAACCACTGAGAGATAAATCCAAGAGGCGTCCGAAAAAAATTTTAATACTCCACTCGAGGTGCCCACAGAACAAAAAACTATCGAAAATATCTGTCATACTGGTAGAACCAACACACCAGGTCCCGATACCATATCCAGGAACTACGTGAAGCAACTACCACCGAGCATTACCCGTAACAACATGAAAATATTCAACGCTTCTCTTGCTACTTTTCAAATCTTTGGATTCTATCATCTATCAACCAAAGCCTTTTAGGACAATTAAGCAGAGACTCATGAAATTTACCACAAAAAACTACGTAAGTAATGTGTGTGACTGAAATTGTCACCCATAAAATCTGAATGGCCAAAAAAATTCGTTCTAGCCATTTTTCTCGACCTTCAAAAAAGCCTTCGATCAAGTTTGACATGCTGGATTATAGAGTGCATATATTTATGTATATATATATATATATATATATATATATATATATATATATATATATATAATATATATAAATTGACAAGGTATGGCACATAGGACTACAAATAAAATTAAAGAAGCTCCTACCCTATCCTCACCTCCAGCTCTGAAGCACGGTACCGAGCACACTAAGATATACCCTATTCACTCAGGCATACCAGAAGGCAGCGTTCTCAGCCCAATTCTATATCTTTTATACACAGCGGACATTCCAACATCTAGTACAACTACTGTTGCAACGTATAAAGATGACACTGCTATCCTGGCATCCCACACAGATCCATCAACAGTCTCAAGAAATCTTCAATCAAACCTAAATAGAATTCAGCAATGGATGAAAGTATGGCGCATCAAATCTTATGGAACTAAGTCAATACATGTTACATTCACGCTACGTAGAGAAACATGGCCCTGTATATATTGATAATTATGTAATTCCTCAATCCAAGGACGCTAAATATCTTGACATGCACTTGGATCGCCGTCTAACTTGGAAAAAACATAATACCTTGGACTTAAATTGAGAAATATGTATTGGGTCATTTGACGCAACTCAAAACTATCTTTGGATAACAAAATTTTACTCTTCAAGTCCATCCTTAAGCCCATATGGACTTATGGGATTCAGCTATGGGGCACTCTTAGCGTCTCCAATACAAACATCTTACAGAAATTCCAAAACAAGGTACTGCGTGCCATAGTCAATGCGCCATACTATGTATCCAACGAGGTGGTTCAACACGACATCCCCTAGAATCCGTGAAAGAAGATATACAACATTGTAGTGCTAAATACTGTGAACGAGTGCTAGTGCATCCTAATGCATTTGCTCGACAACTAAAGGTGCGGAAAGTCGTTGAAGTGCGTAGACTAAAACTAAAATTGCTGTCCGACTTGTCCAACTGAACATAATAAGTGTATTCAAACTAATAAAATTTAAATTTTTAGAATTGTAAAGAGGTTACTCACTGGAGTAATTCTCTACATGTCTGCATTTTTTACCATACCAAATGTTTAATGCCCATTATACAAATTGTTGTACTCAATAGAGTTAAAAAAAAATCCAAAATATTTCCACGATTAGTACAATTAAACCAAAAGCTAAGATTAATACTATTCTATGCAAGAATTAGTATTAAACTCAACAGTCTTCCAGGTTGAACGCGTCGATTTATCACTGTGCCGAAGTTTAAACATTTTCTCTGATAATTATCTTCTTCGGTGCTTCCCAGGTCTAAGTCTCCGAAGTCCAGACACTACTACACTGATCACTAACCAATGCATTACTGCTACTGGGCACAGCGGATGGTTCATTTATACCGTCGATAGTTACGTGGTTTGGGTGGGTCACTTTGGGATTGTAAACGTTTTTTTTTTTTAATAATTAATACCTTTAACTATATATTCCCAAATTTTCATTCTTCTTTGCAGCTTTAGCAGCGCGGAAGAGCTGCACAGATGTTGGATTGAACCAGATTCTGAGGTTCTTTAACCAAGATGTTCTTCTTCTCCCTGGAGCTCGTTTTCCAAATATTTTTCCTTGCAGGATGGCTTGAAGAAGAGCATATCTAGATTCATTTCGCATAATAAAAATAAATTTTCATGCTTGATGTATTTTTTGGGGTTTGGCAAAATTTTGAATTCATTGATCGGGCTAATATGAGCCTTTCTTATCTGAGCAGGAGTTGCGAACTAAAAACGATTCGTCGCCAAAACTTTGATTACTTTTCGGCAACGTTCTCGTCAGACACGTAACAAAAGCTCAAGTCAATTGCCTAAACTCATTTAGGAAAAAAACTACAGATTCTAAATAAGAACAATAGATTTGTGGTATTATACTCGTAAGAATATTTTGGAAAAAAAACTCTGACAAACAGTAGCCCAAAAAGTAAAAACTTTGCAGACATAGTTGACCATAGTTACCCACTTAAGTTGATACATCTGAAATCAAAATAATATATTTTCATACAGCCCCAGTTCCGTGTTTAATAGCCGTAAGTGCCTTGTTTCTATATAGAGTCGGTTTCATTTTCAGAGATTTCAGATTTATAACATACTAACGGCAGCCGTACCGACCCGATAAACAGGATAATTTTTTTCATACTCGTTACAAAATACAACAAAATAAATTGTCTACTACCTATATTTTATTAATATTCAATGACGTACCTGATGAAGTTCCTGCAACTTCACCGTCAGATTCAACTTTCCGTCTTCCATTTTTTCGCCTATTTGCCAATTGACCTTTAAAAAAGAAACTATGTCAGTTATATGAAAATTTACAAAATAATATAAGAAAGCACCAAGCCTTACAAGAGGTAAAAGAAAATGGTATCAATATTTTTTTTTGGTTGCACACTCACTAATACAAAATCTCTAATAAAAAATATAAAATTTCGTAAAATACTAGTATATACAGAGCGATAGTATGAATATCGGTAATCATATGGATTCCTGGAATAGAAACTAGAGAAATGGTTTTCAAAGTTAACGCTATTACTATAACAACTTGTAATGAACTTATGATAGAAAATGTCAATAGAGATAGCCTTATATTATTTAGCTCAAAATAAGCTATAAAACAATAATGAGGCAGCCTTAAGCTGTTCTTAAGGCTGCCTCAACTGTCTTTTACGATCACCGTAACTAATCATCATCAGCGTCTTTATTTTGATCTATCGTGAACTTGCAATGCAACTAACTACCATCAATATAGAGACGGTTGAAATAAATTACACAATGCAGAACTAAATTCTACGGAGTTGTTGTAAATGTGTATAAGTTTAAAAAAGTATTATTAAATCATTTTGTGTACATAGGGATGAAGGGGGCTCCTTCAGACAGGGGGCAGCTTCAGACATTGATATTGTGGGTAAATTTAAGGACTCAGGTTGGCAACACTGATATCAAACATTTCCATTACTACTCACACTATTGTAGTTCAGTATGTAGAACAGTGCAGTAAAGGGTTCATGTCAAAGTGAAAAGTTGGTTTTTGGTGGTTGAAATTCAAATTTTTGGATTGAAGGTAAGATGAGTTTTTTAGTAGAAGCTAAGACTTGGGGTAATTAACATTGCTACCAGTTTTAAGTCCATTTATTGCTGTATAACCTGTACTATTCACATTTGTTACTGATGGCACTCTTAGGTTATAGTTTTACATTTAGTCTGGACACATCGAGTGGGGCATCTTCAGACAAACGCAATGGAAAATAGAGACATATATACATATAGAAAGACAAGGTAGTCCAAAGTTTTTTGACTAGTTTGGAAAAAATATGTAAATACTTTTTTCTTTTTGGGTGTGGTAGTCAATAAAAAATAGAGCTTTGCTAAGGCGTACTATTTATTCTGAATTCCGAGCTTTCGGTGGTTATTTGCCACCTTTATCAAGGTCTACAATGAAAATTACTGTGTTATAACATTAGGCTGATGTAATATAAAAGTTATAAAAACTTACCAGAAAGTAAGATTCATAGCATATAAAACACAACGTTAATAACATAATGTGACCTGAATTATTGAAGGCATTAAAAATTTTAAAAACTTTAAAATACTTAAAAATTAAAGAACATGTTACAAAGTTTAAAAAGTAAAAAATAAGACGACATGTTTGACAAAAAACAATTGCATTCAATGTACTGAATGTCCATCCACGTACATTGGTGAAACTGGAAGAAATCTGTCTAGTCGTATCATTTCTCATAAGAGTGACTGTAGACTTAATAAACCCACTTGTGCTTTGGCAGAACACACTATCGATCTAGACCATAAGATAGATTTCAACAATGTTAAAATATTAGCCAGAGAGAAAAATAAATTTAAGAGAACATTCTTAGAAATGGTACATATCAGCAAGAGTGATAACAACAATATGAATAAAAGATCTGAGATCCAGAATCTTAGCAAAATTTACAATTTTATTTTGACTTTTGACTAGGGTTTTCTGCATCTCAGAGTGCTTCATGTTTCGTAAATTCCATTATTAATTGCTATAATTATCATGATTAACTTCAGTTATTATTCAGATGTTCATTTTGTTTTGTTTGTTTGTTTTTTCTAAACCTATTTACTAAATACTATTTTCTTTTTATTTTTTGACATAATAAAACCTTTTTTTAAATTTCCCTCTCAATTCTAAGTTGGTAACATGGTTGGTAGTACCTAAAATCACAAACGGCATTTTGTTAGACATCAGTTTGAAAGTTTGTTTTTTGTAGTTACATCGAACTATTTAAACAACAATAGTTCCTCCTACTACCTCTTTCTGTTCGTGAGATGTGACTGAATTCAAACCTGCGAAGACGACTGTTTTTTGTCAAACATGTCGTCTTATTTTTTACTTTTTAAACTTTGTAACATGTTCTTTAATTTTTAAGTATTTTAAAGTTTTTAAAATTTTTAATGCCTTCAATAATTCAGGTCACATTATGTTATTAACGTTGTGTTTTATATGCTATGAATCTTACTTTCTGGTAAGTTTTTATAACTTTTATATTACATCAGCCTAATGTTATAACACAGTAATTTTCATTGTAGACCTTGATAAAGGTGGCAAATAACACCGAAAGCTCGGAATTCAGAATAAATACTACGCCTTAGCAAAGCTCTATTTTTTATTGACTACCACACCCAAAAAGAAAAAAGTATTTACATATATACATATATATATACACCACATATATATATATATATATACATATATATATATATATATATATATATATATATATATATATATATAATATATATATATATATAGATTATTTAGTTATATATATTTATTATTATTTATTTAAAAAGTGTTTCTCTTTGTTGCAGATTGTATAAAGATGATAATAATAGGAAGAAAGAAAAACCAAAAGGAAATTTCGATGCCCAATCTATGAAAGAATGTGCAGCGGCCACCCTAGGTGGTGAATCGATGAGAAATGCTGCTAAAAGATTTTAATTAAAATATCAAACTGTTGGTATGTACGTTAAGAAGTTTAGGGATAAGCCAGATGTCGAACATGATATGAAATTAAGAAACGATATTAGAAAGGTTTTTACTGACAAACAGGAAGACGACCTTTAGGCATATTTAATTAAGTGTTCAAAAATGTTTTATGGTCTTAACAATCTAGAAACTCGAAAACTAGCACATGAGATGGCCAAAATGAACCATACTGACTGTCCTAAAAACTGGGAAGCTCCAAGACTAGCAGAAAAGGACTGGCTATACGGTTTTATGAAACACCACACAAGCTTATCTCTCTGTGCTGCTGAAGGATGCAATATTGCACGTGCAATTTCCTTTAACAAACATAATGTGAATGTTTTTTTTAATAATTATGAAAAACTAATCAAAAGATATTAAGAACTCTATGACTCATCCAGATTTAGAATATGGTTGAAACAAAAACTGAAACTAACCAAAAACCTGGTGTGATTTCACAAAAGGGTCTAAAACAAGTGGTGAAAGAGGAACTCTGGTTACTACAGTTTTGTTTATAAATACAGCTGGAAATACAATACCTCCTGCTCTAGTATTTCCGAGAACCATACCCCTAAGTGGGGGTACCTTCAGACGTTTTTGAAAAAGTGGTTTTGATTTTTTTTACAACAAGTATAGGGTTTAATATTAAAAGCATATACAGTAAAAGTTGGGTTCTTCTTCTTCAGATGCAAATCCACTAATGGATGTTAGCGATCACATTTTCCATTAATTCTCTATTTCTTGCAATATGTATCAGAGATTGTATGTCGTTAATCCCTGTCCATTGCCTTATGTTTCGGAGCCAGGACATTTTCTTGCGTCCCATTCCTCTCTTGCCTTCAATTTTGGGTACCTTCAAAAGTTGGGTGAACAATGTATTTTATGAATATTTACTTTTTTTATTTGGTGAGGTATTTAGAGTGATATGAATTTTTTTACTGTAACTTTTTTCTTGTTTATTCCAAGACGAGTCTCGACGAATCGAGTTCATATTTAGAGCGAACTTTAGGGGACAGTACCGGGACAGTTAAACTTTTCTGTGATTTTATAGGTATTAAAAAACGTGTAAAAAGAATTTTTCGTTTTTTTTTTTAAACGAAATATTATCAAGTTGCGTTACTTTTTGTGCAAGCTCTATAAGATATCGGAGGGGAAAGCGGAATCTACCGTAGAAAATATTCTGTATTTAATGAGAGGAAATCCATAATTATAATTACCAATATATTAATTATTCTGAAAGAGAAAATATTATTCAGAGTATAAAAAATATGAGAAAAAATGCAAATATGTATTAAAACAACAACTACTAACTTCTACATTTACTCTAAAAATATGAAAGAATAATTTATATTTCGTACACATAAAAAATGGGAATAAATCAGTCAAACACTACCGCTTTATAACAAATTTAATTCGTTACAATATAACAACAGATGTTTCGCTAGACATATTTTTCAAATGATCCCTTTCAACGTGTTCAGCATTTAGAAATACTAGTAGAGTCTTACTTCCGTAAGAGTGTGACAAATCTTCAACGGTAAAATGTCTTTTTCCAAATAAAATGACATGTTTTGTGCCAAAAAGGACAGGTGAAGATTTAAGTCACGTCAAATGTCACTGTTTATGGCGTTACGTACGTCTCACTTCAAGTGACACGTTTTATGAAGAAGTGTTACATATTACGTGAAAGGGTAACATATTATGTACCTTTTAACGTTAAACGTTAGGTTCCATCTCGTGTCATCATACAGTTAACGTCTTGTGAGTCGGGTGGGGTCTAAACGTCAAAGCGTTCTGTTTTCAAGTGGTCTCTACCTACTCAGAACAAAAATACTCCATTGCCTCTAGCGATAAATGGAAATATGTTAGAACACAAGTACTTAAGCTATTGGATTATCAAAAAACCCGATCTCGAGCAAGAAATAAAAACTTTTAGAATTTCTGAAGTCAGGGATAGGTTTATTAGACTGGGGAGCTTCTTTGTAGATTTGTCGCATGTTGAAAAATGCTGTGGCAGATTATCACTAGTATTTGAGATGCTGGATTACCAAAAAACTCGATTTTAAGCAAGAAATAAAAACCTTTAGAATTTCTAAAGCCACCGATAGGTATGAGCTCTGTGTTCAAGAGGCATGGCTTCACCCTTAAAACAAAAACAAGGCTCCTTTAATATTACGTGTACTCAGTGCTTCTGTACGGAGTAGAAACGTGGACATGTTGAAGTTCTACAACGACTAAATTAGGAGAAAGAAACAGTCACCGCATCCCTCAATTAACTATAAAGTACCCTAAAGAGGAAAAAGGTATATATTACTTTTTATTACACCACTTTGTGCCATTTGCAATTTTTAATTTTGCCTGCTCAGCAAATACAAAACTGAGTGATGGTTCATTTCAGAACGATGAATTGGCCAGCATGTAGCCCAGATCTAAGTAGATATGAAGCACGTCTGGTTAGAATAGAGAAACGCATCTGGAGATTTAAAAACTTTCCAGAAGTTGCAGTGTGCTCTCCTACTAACGTGAGAAAGACATGTGCTACCTAAATTAAGTTGTTTTCAGGTCAAGAATAGCAATAGCCAATAAAGAGTAGGACCCAACACCAAAAGGGAGGCAAATGTTATAGTTAATATTATACATTGATATATATGGTATTAATAATTTCTAGATTCTTTGTTCAGTAGTGTAATTCCTGTAATGTTATTCGATATAGTTGTAAGCAGGTTAAAACAGATCACTTGAGATACATTCCATGCACCAGAAACCGCTGTTGTTAAAGTAATTAATAAAATTTATGCAAACAATAGACTTTAGTGTTGTTTATAGAAATTCGTTTTGTAAATAAGGTGTGAAGCAAATGTTTTAAATAATTAGTATCACAGATAATCTTATATAAAAAATATCACACACAGAACACAAGTGCAGCTACCACCAATAAACTTACTATGAAAATATTCAGGATTATAATAAATGTAGCAGCCGGCGATCCATGATCAAAAAATGAATTATTAAAAAACTTGAAAAATTTAAAAAAGACGCTCCTCTGAGCTAATATGCAAAATGACGTATATCTAAGTTACATACTACACAACAATTAAAATATTTAATAAATGAGAAGATTTCTTCGTGATGCTTGAAGTTTCTTCATTCTTCAGTCGATTTTCTTCATTTTTCAGTTCTGTTTTCGTGCTTCCTCAGTAGTTGTGGTTAGTCAGTGTAAAAATATATTTATCTCAATAATGTTAGTAAAATAAATTAAATAAAGTGATTCACAGCCATAAAGAAAAATAATAATAATATGAAAAAGTAGGCCCGTCAAATGATCATTAAATAAGAACAAATTCAGTCATTCATTTAAATATTTATAATACTAAAAACTATTTTTGTCTTAGTAAATATTTCATTTTTGTCAAGAGCTACACAAATAGAAGGTAGGAGGTACCATTTTCGTTTGTTTTTATCTTGATCAGTGATGAATAGCATTTTGTATTGTATATAACAGTTGGAAATACCACTACTGAATTAAGTTGCAATGAGAATCATACAAGAATTCATTGAAATCGAAAACGTCCCGATTGCCTCAACAAAAGAAATGACATATAGTAGGTATGGATATTATTGTTTTTGTCTGATTATTGACTTACGTCTGAATAACAATGTATAATGTATGTAACGATAAATGTTGAATGGCACGAGTTTGACTATCACTGGAATCGGCTTTTAAAATAGGTAAAGATCTCGCGTTGACTAAGAATAAAGTAAATTTTGTAAAATTGGAAGGAGGGTCATACGAGAGTTCATTGAGATTGAAAAACGTCCCGATTGCCTCAATAAAAGAAATGACACAACTGATTATCTTAGTACTTAAGACTCTATAAACCACCAGAAACTAACTCAATATACTTTTCCTCTTCTTCGCATCAATCTAACCAAGCAATCGCCAATCAATTAAATAAACAATACTACAATAATTGTCTAAAAGGCTTCAGGTTAACTAAGATTGAAGTAACTATTGAAAAACTCTAAAACCATAACTTCGGATATATTTCGTTGACTTACGCGTCATCCTAGACGTTATTGAGATCAAACACGCCCCGATTGTCTCAACAAGTGATGTCCGATACAAACTAATACGTGCAAAATCTCGTCGCTCTTCTTCGTATCAATCGCATACAAACTGTAAAAACGGGGCCGTTGAGTACTAGTAAAGTACTACAAAACAGAATTCAAAAGGACGAGAACAAACCTTCAAGAAAACGTTTAATATTTGATGAAATTTGCAAATGATAATTTTATAATTTTAATTTAGCTATTCATCACTAAATTGGTAGAATTGTTTCACATTTTTTTTAAACTAATGACGAATTGACATTAACTATAACTTTATGGCACTTCATGTGTATTGTCTTTTTATAAATAAAACCCAGTCATTAAATGATTTTGGTTTTTCTCTCTACGTAGAAAGTCTCTTTCTACGTAGACTACGCCTACGACGAAGTACGGAATGCAAAGACATGGGAAAAAAAAGGTTACAAGTTTCGGACATGGACGATTCATAAAAATGTATTAATAGGAAGCTTTAATATGAAGACAAAATGCCTATTGAAGCAGAAGAGCAGGAGATAAAGAATATGCAGTTTTTGCGTTATTTCGATGAAATGTGGCTAAGATAACGAGAAGTTATCAACTTTTTCTGTTGTCCCCTTTGATTACAAATGGTGATCAGCTATGATGACTAACTTCACCTTAAATGTCCTATTTCAATATGTTAGAAGGTGCCCACATAGTACGATCAACACAAATGTGTTGTTAAGCAATGTTTAGAACGAAATATCGGATAAAAAAATAGTATTTTATAAGAAGCCAAACTCATGTGACTATAAAAAGGACAAAATGCCTATTAGAGCAGTCGAACGTATCTGCTGTACTAATGGAAAAATGTATGTTAATTCGATGAAATATGGCCAGATAAGAAGAGGATAAACTATTTTTTCTGGTATCCCTTTTTATTTTAATTGGTTATGACTAATTGCTTCTGAAATGTAATATTTCTATACGTTAGGGGGCGCCGACATAATACGATTAATAAAAATGAAACACACAATGCATTGCAAAATACAAACAACCCTGCACAAATGATTGGAGCGATTTAAAACTAGTATTAACATCTATGAAGAACCAGCTTCTATACTGAGGGTAAAAAAATCATTTAATGACTGGAAATTTTGACAAAAATTGTCTAAAAGCTCAATAAAGCTTCAGTGTGAGTAAATCTTTAATTATTAATAAATTCCCTGACCTCTTTAACACTCAAAAATAATTGAAAATATATTTATGTTACGGTAAATTTTATTAATCCCGGTTATTATACATAATCACCACTGGATTTGTTAAATGTGATAAATTCTTCAATATATATCAAATTAACCGGTGATTTTATATAATTCCCAACTCGGAATGGCAAATGTGATGAAAGTCCGTTATTTTTTGTTATTGGTGGTCTCTATTGATGTTGCAGAGAAATAAAGGGACATGGCTGTGGAAATGAACCGAGGGATTTATTTCAGAAGATCAAACTCCTTACGAGAGAATTTAAATCTCAAACGTGGTCTGTAATAGATAAGGAAGGTCATCTAAAAACCGATACTGATGAAATATTGTAAACATGGCGGCGAAACTACTGTGGCGAACTATATAAAAATAACGAGACACCAGCAGAAAATCAGCGGCCCAATGACTGCCCTAGAGAACCTACTGTCTTACTCGCTCTCCGTTCAGCTCGCGTAGATAAGAATACGACCGAGGTCAGAAGACCCTGCCAGTCGTAAGAGGCGACTAATGGGCGGATCTGAGAGATGCAGAGCCGTCGTTTGAGGTGTGAGCATCTCGTGGGACCACTCTACTCTCATTTTCCACAAGAGCCAGGTGAGGTTCAACGAGCCGGGTATGAAAATACCTCCCAAAGCCGACACCGCTGAGGGTGGTGTGGTTTGACTCGGCACGTACCCACCTTGGAATGACTTACGAGTGGTAGAGGAGTGATTCCTCGGCGGCGACCTGTCTTCGTGCGAGGTGGAATTCCTCCACCTGCGTGCCTTTCCGCCCCCCGTGGGGGGAAGAATCACGGAAGGGTGGCGTACCCGCAACACAGGTACTACGGGGGAGGTGGAGCCCCACGATGTTTCCACATCGTGCCACTTCCAATTGGTGTCGGAATCGTAGGGGCAGTGGGAGCGCTAAAGGTCGTATGCCGAAAGGCCAGATAGACCAGGGTCCTGCCAATTTTATAATTGGTGGGCCTAAAGCTTCGCAATGTCTTACTCGCTGAAGTCAAAAATGCAATTAAATCGCTAAAGAGAAATGAATCCCCGGGCATTTATTCAATACCAGTTGAAATACTACAATTACTAGGTAAAGGATTACATATCCATTCTATCTGTGTCGATGTTTGGAATTCAAGAATATATATCCCGTTACACAAAAAAGGAACTACTATCAGACGTGAAAACTACCGCACATTGTCAATAATGTAAAATCTTGTTGCATATCATCAAAAACAGATTAAAAGCCTATTTACATTACCAAATACATCAGGATCAAGCGGGGTTTGTAATGAGGATAAGACAACAGAGAGAGAGAGAGAGAGAGAGAGAGAGAGAGAGAGAGATTGATGTCGCATGCACTAAAGTATTTTCCACCTAAGAAGACCGATTTGCAATTGAATGCTGGTAACTTTATTACTAGTGACCAGACAAGCGTCTGGTCCATATATATATATATATATATATATATAATATATATATATATATATATATATATATATATATATATATTTGTCACTATTTTTCCGGGTTTGACTCCGCGTTGTAAAGTGCTGGTTTTCTTGAAAACCATTGTTTTGGCGACGTTTCGGCAAGGTCTCACTTGCCATTCTCAAGCCTGGTGGATCTACTTCTCGTCGTTACTCGATTAGTACTTGTAGTTGTAGTACAGTACTAATCGAGTAACGACGAGAAGTAGATCCACCAGGCTTGAGAATGGCAAGTGAGACCTTGCCGAAACGTCGCCAAAACAATGGTTTTCAAGAAAACCAGCACTTTACAACGCGGAGTCAAACCCGGAAAAATAGTGACAACACATATAGCTCCCGCGGAAACCTCAAAACAAACATATATATATATATATATATATATATATATATATATATATATATATATATATGGATATATTTTACACTACCTTTATAAATAACATTTTACTGCTCTATTCTATCAATCAGCACTTCTCAAGTGCTTTTTTTAATAGACAAGTATTGTGTGAACTCCTCTAATATTGTTTCAAAACGGTGGCATTTTTTAAGAAAATACATGAACAATAATATAACGTCTGATAGTCCGAGGCAAGTTGTAGTTTTAGATGAAACTTAGATTTTCGCTAAATGAAATATGTCAAAATCATCCTGGCAAGATGGCACCACGAAATGTTATTGTTCTAGTCGTTCCTGTAATGGTAAACGCTACATGATACATACTTCATGCTGTAAATGATGAGGGTTTTATTCCTGACGCTGGTTTAATTTTTTTTGTCCACAAAGAAGGTGATTACCATGGAAATATGGATGCAAATATTTTTTGAAGTATGGTTTGAAGAAAATTTGTTAAAAAAATTGAAGCGACCATCCATAATAGTGCATCCTACAACATACCACTCAAGAGTAGAAGCGAGATTTCCTTCAAGCAGCTGGACAAAAGAAGAAATAAAGTTGTGGTTGACAGAAAAGAAAATTTATCACAGAGACATATTTTTAAACGTCGATTTACTTCAAAGGTGTGGAGAGCACACAATTCAAAAGAAATTTGTTACTGACCAAATGGCTCTTTTGGAAGTCGTTCTTCGACTTCCGAAATTACGTTCTTCCGTATAGCCAAAAATTTTTATGATAAACATGCATCCAAAACAACAGTTCTATGTTTATGGAAAGAATCGCTAGAACAAATAAAGGCAGAACAATGGCAAAATTGTATTAGACATACGGAAGACATAATCGTTCAGTCTTTTCAAACCAAGCAAATAGATGAGGTCCGGCCTCTAATTATTCGGATAGATAATTCAGATAGTCACGAATATGATAGTGAAATATCAGACAGTGAATAGGACAAATCGTTTGCTAAAAAGAAGTAACAAAAAAGTGTTTTAGTTAAACGATAAAGTACCTTCGGTCT